TCACCAACACCGATACAAACTCGACGAGACCCGACGTTGGAGCGCATGACCATTCAGTTGCGTGAGCTCCAAGAAACAGTTGAGGGGCGAGAAGTTCCTCGACTTTCTGGGCATTAGTTTGCTGACAAAATTTCGGATGTGGATCTACAACAAGGGTTCCGATAGCTAATGTTGTCGTATGATGGATCTACCGACCCGACACAACGCTTGAGGAGTTTCGAGAAAATGAATGTCCTGCACAATTATAGTGACCAGTATGCTGTACGAAATTTTTAGCCATGCTGAAATGACCTGCACATGATTGGTTCCATCAACCGGCATCAGGGTTAGTGAAAGACTTTCAATGATATAGCTCGAGACTTGTTGATCAATTCTCTAGCGCACGAAATCCTGAGAAAACCTACTTATCACTTATTAATATGCAGCAACAAGAGGGGGAAACATTGAGGGCCTAGCCAGATACACCAAGGAGTGTGTTGATGGGCCTACGACCTCAAATGAGGTCAGGACAGGAGGAGTTTATGAGAGCGCTGCGACCTGGTGCTTTCAGATAATTGTTAGCCAAGTGACCCATGAAGTATTATGATGAGAATTTGGAGAGTGTTTCAAATATAGAACAGAAAGAAGCAACGGATTTTATGCAGTTAGATGCAAACAGAGAGAAGGAGAAATGATATGAGGAACGCTGGAGACTTGAAGAAAATAAGTCAGCTCGTGATGGGTAACCGGAAGAAGAAAGATGGTAGATACCAGACAAAGTTTGATTGATACGCGCCTCTGGCACCAACCACATATAGGTCTTTGAAGTTCTAGAAAGAATAAGTAACCTACGGTTGCTAAACCATCTCATACCACTTCCGAGGAGGAATGGAGTTCCAATGGGTCGACCAAAGGCCTATTGTTGTTACCAGTGTGACTACGAGCACATGACTGACACTTTTAAAGAACTAAGGGGAAAAACAGAATGGCTAATTCGAGCTACACACCTGAAGGAGTTTGTCCTCTGGGATAGAGATGGTAAGAATGACAAGAATGATGATGAGAGGAGACGAGCAGAGAGGGATGAGCTCCCACCTCGAAAGAAGGGTGTGATACATATGGTAGTCGGAGGACCCACACAAAGACTCAAATCAAGCTAGGATGCGATGCACAAGAGCTGTAGGTAGAAAGGTAGAAAAGATGGTGCAGAGGAGATCCAGATCGCAGGTGAAGTACGACCAATCCAGCTTGGACGACTGGCCTAAGATAGGTTTTCACACTGCACAATGCCGCTCTAGTAATCACTGTTAAAATATGCAACTACAATGTCTAAAGGATCTTTGTCGACAGCGTGAGCTCGGTAGACATTCTCTTCACACATTATCTCGAAAAGATGGACCTTGGGATCCAGCCTGTGCGAACAACCTTGCACAGGTTTAGTGGTTCTAAAGTGGTCCATTTGGGAGAAGTAACCCTTCCAGTAGCCTTAGGGACACCTTCCCTTAGGCAAGTTAAAATAGTCAAATTCATGGCCGTGAATGTTGAGTCCGCGTACAACGTGATATTGGGAAGGCCAAGCCTAAACACATCTCGAGCGGTGGTATCAATGAATTGTATGAAGAAGAAATTTCCAGTTGGAGACGTAATCCGATAAGTCATGAGGAACCAAAAGTCGCAACGACATGCTATCAGGCACTCTGCGAGCTGTGCAAAGTGAAAAAAGAAAGACAAATGCTCAAGTCGACGGAGCAGAAAAGAAACCAAAATTAGACTTAACCTCTCAATACGAGCTTAGGAATTTAAGAAGCGAATGTGGCTGTATATATACGCACAATGGCATTGTTAGTTGTAGGACCTAGCTAGTGTTGCCACGTTCTTCGACCTCTGTCTTGCTAGGCGGTTGATGATTTCCCGTCTAGTACAAAATTCACCTGATACGATTCATGGAGCAAAAACTAAGTAGAAAACTAGCATTCAAAGACACAATGGCATGAAAGGGGATGAATGGAATGGCAGCAGTCTTCTTAGTCCCAATCCCTGCGCATTCAAGCTAAAAGGACAAGTCTTGCGGGCAAGTCGGTTGTCGCGATCCAGGGGTTGACCTCCCAGATTGGCCCTAGGAAGGGAGTCCCACAAGGGGGGTCAAGTGAGCAGGATTTTGTCCTTTCCCACAAGCCAGAACTAGAGGTGAGTACACTTCACTCGATATCGAATACTCAACAGACATGCAGACCGGATGATTGCTCTACCAGACCTGACTACCAAGATTGATCTCTCCATGCTCGTCATTTCTAGTGCTTGCACAACCTCCTGCCTTAGTCCTTAGTCTGAGCAGCTTGTTCCTTTGGAACGTTAGCATGGAGCAAAAACTAAGTAGAAAACTAGCATTCAAAGACACAATGGCAGGTGGATAAATTCTGGCTTAGTCTCATAAAAAAGATGATGCTATCTTCATATTTCATACACATGGGATTGGGATAGAGTTCAATGTGAGGTGGGGTGTGAGGGCTGGAATTGTAGATTGAGTTCAAGAAATTCTGTTTACAGCTCTTTCGTTTTTCATTTCTTTCCTATTTCCTGATTTTTTGAAGTTGTGTGTTCAGTTGATAAGTATCAAATTTTAATAGGAATTAGGTGCATGCATAACAATAGCAAATCACATTAATCCAAAAGGAATTTCTGCGGTACATATTATGGAATATTTATAGCAAAACTTCAGGACGTAATGAGAGCATTCACTGTATATTGATTGTAAGTACAACTTCATGCAAATAGCTGCATATCCTGGTACCACACAAATATTGATAAACAATCATTACCACCTTAAAAACACATTTTCGTCTGCAGTACTCCCACAACTGATTTCACCATAGAACAGCAGAAGAGAAAAAGAACCAGTCAGAACTTGGTGATTAATGCAAAAATGGTACAGGAGACACCCTCATGTAAAATGAAAATAAGAATAAAATGTAGACATAATAACAGCATGAGGATAGACTTCATCCTTAAGCTCACGCATGCCGGGAGTTGCATGACCCATCTCTAGTCTTGGCGCAAGAAAAACATGTATGAGCCGCTTTATACACTTTCCTCGGTGACCAACCATTACAACCACGGATTTATTTTTATTTTTATTTTTTAGCGTTATCACACGAATGGAGGCCAAAACACTGCCTGATAAAACAAACCTATGCATTCATGATCTCAGTACGATATTCACCTGCCAAATTGTAACTAGCACTTGCACGCAAAAGCATCGGTCAATACGACTCGACGAGAATCAAGTACAAACACGACCATAAAGAGATAATTGAGAATAAATAAATAAATGCAGGTGTTACAAACAGTACTAATGATACAGCGTGGATAATACCACCCACCCAACAATAAAACACTTAAACTCACCTAATATATCTCATCATCTGGGATTTCCGGCTCCTTATTCTTCCTCGGGTTCGCCATATTCCGGGTGTACATGGTGGACTTGATCTTCTTCGGAATGGGCTCAACCGGAATAATGCTGTCCCGATCTATCACCTCATCAATAATCCCGTACTCGACGGCCTCAATCGGCGACATGTAGCGGTCCTTGTCGATATCCTTCTCCACCTGTTCGTACGGGCAGCCCGTGAACTCTGATATGATCCGTATGACGGTGGCCTTGTTATGCATGGCCTCCCGGGCCTGGACCTCAACATCATTGGCGGGCCCTCTGGTCCCACTGAACGGCTGGTGTATCATGATGCGCGTGTTCGGCATTGCCAGCCGCTTGCCCTTGGCTCCGCCAAGGAGGATGATGGTGGCAGTCGAAGCCAAGAAGCCAAGCGCCACAGTCGAGACATCAGCCCTCAGTAGGCGGATGACGTCGAATATGGCCAGAGCGGAGCTGAGGTTTGCCGAAAAAAATTATAGGTGACTGTTTTGATTTCTATGTATTTAAGTTGAAGAAGTAAAAAAGGGAATGACAAATTATATATTTCTTTTGCTTAATGCTGGGAATACCAGGAAGCAATTTACATGTGGTAAATCTATGTCCTCGTTCTCTTATCAGATAAACAGAATACATAATACAAAGGAACTTTACAGAACAACAGATAACTCTTTCTGACCAGAAACATTGAAACCGAGAGGGTAGGCACTCACACTTAAAAAAAAATGTTGGGAAAGACAAAGGTTGAATGTATGCCTAATTGACATTGTTATGGATAAAGGTAGGATACAGAAAGTGTGCCTAAAGTTTAGCTACATCCATTTGATCATATGACCTGCTTCTCTTATTGGTGAAAGTTATCATGTTAGCCAATCTGATGTGACAAAACTCAAAAAAAATAATAGAAGCAAGCCACGATTGATTAATTTGAGAGAGCCTAAAAAGAGCTTAGAGCTAGAACTTCCCTTTTGAATGTACTAATACCAAAGGCACATCGCGTAGTTCACATAAGGTGAACGCCAAACACAAATTAAAATAAACAAGTCTGGTCTCAATTGTTCAAGACAGCAAAAGACACGTAAAACCACTTGATAAGCTTTACTTCCGAAAAATGAACATGAGGTTATGTCATGGTCATGGATTAATTTCCTCCCTTGAAGACCACAGTATATAAGTCTAGATGGCAACAGGCCCATAGCTTTGGCTGCTTGCGATAATTTATGGAAATGATCATTAATCGCATATGCACTGACGCATAAAACAATTAAATGTCCAAAAGATACTAATGAATGTGAAGCCATGAATGGGTAAAGAACAGCAGCTAATAAGGAGCAACTGAAACTTCCTTTAACAGGTAACAGACGTGTGCATAGATGATTTGGAGTCCATTTCTCTACACACATTTTGAATACTTTTTTTTTTTTTTTAAAACGATAGAAAT